ATAAAATTCGTGGAGTATACTTGTAATTATCTCAGTCGGTAATGAGGGGAAGGTTAGATACAGAAAATTCACATTGTCTTCCTTAGTTCTTGCTGATTTGTGAATCTTATCAGTTCTGCTGGAGCCTCGTCACCCGCTGTTCCAACAAATATTGGAAGTGTTGACGGGTCGGTCCGTGGACTTGGTTCAAAAGCTGCTTCTTTATCTTATGTTGGTTCACAACCACCTCAGCCTTCCTTGAGCACTGGTGTTGGCGGTTCTGCTTTTGGAATGTCGAGATACTCCTGCAGACCATGGGAAAGAGGGGATTTACTAAGGCGTTTGGCTACCTTTAAGCCTGGAAATTGGTTTGGGAAACCGAAGGTTAAAATTTTATTTGACTATTTACAATTTTACATTAATCTTGCAGTATGTACGTGTGACTGTGCATGTAACTTAATAATTACTGTATATATTTGGTCTCTTTGCAAAAAAGTCAAAGCCATACAGTCCTATAGCCTGAAGCTCCAATATATAATATTCTACTCATAATCTTAACTGGAGCTGATTGAAGTAAATATTTAAGAACCAACCTACAAGAGCATGCAACTTTTTGTTACTTTTTGCTTTGGTGGGAGACTGTTTGTCCTCTTGGTTTTATTTTATGGTATCATTCATGTGAAATCATAACTTCAAAGGAAATAATTTCTTTCAAACTTTTGATTCCTTGTGAGAAGCCTATAATGAAGTTGAAATCATTTAGCTTTCATATGGAAAAATTGACGGTCCTTTTCACGTTTCTTTCTTTTGTCAGTAACTCCTTCAGTCCTTCTGCATCCCATGGAATCTAGGTAAAAAGCCTTTATTTGTTACCCACTTTGAAGTTTGAATCTTCATGGCACTGAAATTTTGACATTTAATAAAAGCCGACCTAGTCCAAACCTGGTCCTTTCTTCAGTTAGTTACTTTAGGCCAAGGTTTTAAATGTTGATGCTGATGGAAATATTGAGGTTTCAATTTCATGGAAATGTTGATGGAAATATCGATAAAATGTCGATGTTGATGGATATTTCTGAAAAGGTCATAAAAATAAATAAATAATTTGTAAAAAATATTTTAATTAACAAATATGCCTCTCAATCTTTCCGAATAAGTTTAAAATGATTAATATTAATATTATGTCTATAATAGTGATATTTTGTTGATATTTTTCATATTCGGTCGATTTTTTTAGAATACAAAATGTCGATTTACCCTTCATGTTAATGTCAAGCGCATGGATGCATGGAAACGTCGACATTACGGCGGATACTTAATACCTTGCTTTAGACATAGGTGACATCTTGAGGCAGTGCTCAATTTATGTTAAGAAAACTTCTCTGATTGCCTATTAAATACAGTTGGTTATAGGTGTAACTGATGTAAAGAGATGGTATAGTTTTGATTTTGTTAAAAAAAAGAATCTTTTTTATTAATCAACCAGAATTTTGAAATATATCGGGACTTTTATATGTCAATTATTTTTCATACAAATTTGTTTTTATCTTTTAAACTACTGAAAGTTATAATGAATAATGTTCTATGGTAACTATTTTTTAAAGTTAAGGAGCACTATTTTTCTTGATATTGTGCAGGGAGTCAATTCACTTTCATGTGCACAGAGAGGTTGGATGAATGTTGATGTTGATAAAATTGAATGTGAATCTTGTGGTGCCAGTTTGAGCTTTGAATTACTACAGTCATGGACGTCTGCAGAAGGTTAGATTCATTAATGGAGAGCCACTTTAAATACATATGATTATCCTCCCCCCCAACAAAAAAAAATTATAATCAAAATCCTGAAAGCTTCTTAAGACATTTACTGAGGTTTAACTGATAGTTGACTAATTAATTCATGAATTCTGAATGGCCAATAATAATGACCTTTGATTCTCCTCCTATTTG